TTTTAATTAAAATAAATATTTTTATCAAGAGAAATGTTAACGGGTGTCTATAATTATTAATTAAAACAATTTTATTGTAAAAAAAATATAATCGATGAATTGTCTTTTATTGAATTTGATGAAAATATAAATTAATAAGTTAACTAATTTTAATAAGTGTTTATAAGCATCCAGTAACCGAATCCTTTTCACAATTAAATAACCATCAATCGAGTTAATCGGCTGAATTAATTAATAATAATAGGTAATCAGTTAATCGATATTTCTAATTATTTTAAATTCTTTTCTTCATTTATTGTGCATGGTTCATATATATATATATATATATATATATTGATTGGATGAACCTAGATATGGAGGTTAACTTGCATTATTAAAATTAAAAAGAAGGTCCAAGGAAGGTAGGGTTTAAGCAGAAGAGGCAAATTGAGAAATGTGAGAGAAAGGAGCCAAGAGCCTAAATTAGGGAAACCGTGGGCCGGGTTCTGCAACATGGTTTTGTGGTACTAGTTGGTTTGTCAAGTTGATGAGAGAATTATTTATTTAATTTAATTTTCCAAATTATTCTTTAGTTGTAAGAATCAGTGCATGTGATTAATAATGCCAAAGACTAGTACGATCCCGTGATTGTTATTATTATTATTATTATTATTTAATTAAACTAATAACTTAACGAGTGGCATGACAGAATATGTTTGTGGGTTTTTATTAGGGCAAATACTTGGCCTACTTGCTCTCTTCCCCTTCCTTTTTCATCCATTCTAAACCTACTTGTCCATAGCTATTTTCATGTATTCAAATCCATTTCCATATCCTTTTAGACTTTTTTATTTGTATTCTTTTAGGTTCTAAGTAATGTTATTTTGGATACCTTGATTTCTTGATTACTCGGATGTGATTTAAAAATAATAATAGAATTATGAATACTTTTAGAATTTTTTTATATTAAAAATTTTTTATAAGTAAAATATATTAATCTTTTTAATTTTTGATCATAATTACACGAGAGTTTGTTAATTTTTAAAATAAATATTTTAACTCAAATATGTAAATGGTGTTATGGTCTAAACGTGAAATATAAAAAATCTCCTTATTTTTTTTCTCTTTTCCTTTCTCTCAAGCTGGTTGACGATGGCCTTTATACTAATCGGCTAGTTGAGGTCAAATTCGGCTGTGGAATGTCAGATTCGACCGAATCTCCCCAAGGGAGCACGAGATTTGGCCGCTTGCTCCCTTGATGCACTCCTAGCTGTATTGCCAATCAGTTTAGTCGATCTCATAGCCATCTAGTGCTCCCCATGGGAGAGTCATCGATTTTGAGGTGATTAGTTGAAAGTAATTTTTTTTTTTTTGAAACAGAGAGAAAATTTTTAAAAAATATATAATTTATATAATAATAATTTTTAAAATTAATAAAAGATAAAATTATTTTAAAAATATTATCACATCATCAAATTAATGAAAATATTATCATTTGACTAATTACAAGACTTATATGTCAAGTGAAAATATTTTTTTAAGATAGAGTATCTATTTTAAAAATTAATAGATCTATATATAATTATATTCAAAAATTAAAAAAAATCAATATATTTTACTCAATTTTAATTCGATGATTTGATGCTAAACAACATCCTTGTCAACTTTGACGTAGGCTCATGATTGAGCTCAATGAGTCAAGGTTGAACTTGTTTGACCAACGAAGCAAGAAAATTGGAGCTTCATTCAAGTTTTCCTAAAATTTGTCGAGCCAGGCTTGAATATTTCTAAACTTGATTGTAGACCAAAAGTTATCATAATGGGATTGTCCAGTGATTGGCTTAAAGTTTTGGATCTCCAGTTAATAAAGATATTTCAAAATATTATTGACAAAATTATAGGTTATATAAGGTCAAATTATGTATTAAAATAATATTAATTTAATTTTTATATAATAATTTATGTAAATTGAATCATTTTCCTTTTTCAATTTGTTAAGTTCAATTCAAATTTTATTATTGTTAAATATATTGACGTAATATTTTGATATAACTTTATGTTTGTCATGCTAATATGGTATTAATTAGACAAACAATAGTTTATGTTAATCTAATAAGAAATGTTAATAGCCACCAATGGACAAAACCCTCAAACCCTATGTCAACAAATGCCATGTCAGCATATAATCATTATTAATCCAATTAATGACACATCAATAGGATAAATGCCAAGATAGTATATAGTCAACATCACATTTTCAAGAAAATACCACATCATCTCAATCAATATCATGTCAGCTTGGTCAGAATGCAAATGCATACTTAACAATAAAAATTTAATAATATTAAGATTGAACTGAAATTAACGAATTGAAAAAGTATAAGAATTCAATTTATCCATATATATTTGTTTTTAAATCGTTACAAATTTTGTTATTTACTTCAATGATGAGGTGGCAGCATTTGGTGGACTGACAATATAAGAAACTTATACATTTTCAATCCATCAAATATTAATCCCATGCATAGAATTATACATGGATCCAATTCCAATTTTATAGAGTGTATGGATTAATTGTAAATTAACCATTATATAAATATTGTGCTTAATTATATAAAAGACAAATTATCATATAAAAACTAAACATATTGATTATCATTTTAAAAATTAATAAAAAAATTAAGCTTACAAATATATATTTTTTATTTTTTAGTTTTGTATAATGTATTTTTTTTTGTGGGGTTGTATAATGTATTGTTATTTTTGTGTTTTAAACTTCTTTAATAAAATGTTGTTCTAGTGATAATAATGAAAGAATACATAATTATTATGTAAAAGTTAAATTAAATATGATCGTAAAATTATTTTGAAAAATCATATTTAAATGACCCAGATCAATTAAAATCTCGATGAACTACTAACTTTTTTATAAATTTGATAAATTAATATGAACTTTTCCAAGTTGATTGCACAAATAAAAATACATCTATTATTATCGAATCAAAGATGGGCTTACCGACTTTTGTATGTAAAAAGGGACATGAAACCCCTAGGAAGCTAGGAACTGGGATGGTGGGATATGATCGCAGGCCTGCAGAAGTAATGCGATAGAGTTTGATCATTTGATTGAGTTTGTTATAGTTTTATAAACTGCACATGTTTTATTCATAGGGGTCTCCGAAATCCGAAATCCAAACTACCAAAGCAGTGAAATGCATGTCTGGAACTGCAACCACCAATCTCACACCATCTCAGTGATCTCAAGGAGATTCATTTCATATTGTTCCATCTCACATAACTCGTTCTGTCTTGACAATCTCTTGGCTTCCCCCGAGGACATTGCTTCCATTTCGCTTCCTTTTGATCAAATCGATACACCCAGCATTCACCAATGGGACACCATCATCAGAGACATTTCTGCAAGCTCCCAACCAGGAAAGTCTCTCGTTGTCTATGCCATGATGCGAAGAAAAGGTGTAACTCCCAGCATACACACTTTCCCTTCCCTTCTCAAATCCGTTTCCAAGTCTCAAAACCATAACCCATTTCAGCTTTGGCCTCATATTTTTAAGTTCGGATTGAATTCTGACCCTTTCGTAAAGAATTCATTGATTTCTGCCCTTTTTAGCTCTGGACACATGGAACTCGCTCGTCAAGTGTTCGATGAAAATGAGCAAGCGGATGTGGTTTCTTGGACTGCTTTAATCAATGGGTATTTAAAAACTGGTTCTCTTGTTGAAGGGTTGAAATGTTTCAAGGAAATGAGATTAAAGGGTGTAAAAGTTGATGGAATGACTGTTGTTAGTGTCCTTAGCTCTGCAGGAAAAATGGGTAATATTTGGTTTGGAAGGAGTATTCATGGATTTTTTATGGAAACAGGGAGAGTCAAATGGGATGTGTTCGTTGGTAGTGCCCTTGTTGATATGTATTCAAAATGTGGGTGCTGTGATGATGCAAGAAAATATTTTGATGAAATGCCAATAAAAAATGTGGTTTCTTGGAGTGCTTTGACAGCTGGCTATGTGCAATGCAACAGATTTATGCAGGCACTTGTCGTTTTTCAGGATATGCTAATGGGGAATGTTAGGCCTAGTGAATTTACGTTTACTAGTGTTCTCACTGCTTGTGCTGAAATGGGGGCTTTGGTCCAAGGAATGTGGGTTCATGGATATATGGATAGATGTAAGCTGGAGATGAATTCCATTGTTGGGTCGGCTTTGATAAATATGTATACAAAGTGCGGGTGTTTGAATGAGGCTTTCATGGTTTTTAAGAAGCTGAGTGGAAAGGATCTTTTTATTTGGAATGCCATGATTAATGGATTGGCGATGCATGGTGATGCAATAGGCTCCTTAAATCTGTTCTGGGAAATGTTAGGTAGTGGTATTCATCCAAATGAAGTTACCTTCCTTAATGTACTTAGCGCATGTTCGCATGGAGGTCTTGTTGATGAGGGACGGAAGCTCTTAGCGATGATGAAGAATAGGTATTGTTTGGCGCCTGGTGTAGATCATTACAGTTGCATGGTTGACCTGCTGGGTCGGGCAGGGCACTTGGAAGAAGCAAGGAAGTTGATTAAAGATATGCCAATAGAACCCTCGGCTGGAGTATGGGGAGCCTTGTTTGGGGCCTGCATGATTCACAAGGCATATGACCTAGGGGAATGTATAGGAAAGCATTTGATCAAGTTGCAGCCGAATCATAGTGGTAGATATGCCCTTTTGGCAAACTTGTACTCAAGGTGCCAAAAATGGGATTCAGCCGCTCAGATAAGAAAGCTCATGAAAGAGAGAGGTGTTAAAAAGACGCCAGGGTGTAGCTGGATCGAAGTCAATGGTGCAATCCATGAGTTCATTGCTTTTGATGGATCTCATTCTGAATTCCATAGTTTGAACCAGGTGATGGATAGTTTTATAGTTCAATTGACTCTTGCTGATCATGCTACAGATTGTAGCTTATTTGCATTTGACGTTGATACGGGTTGAGAAAATATTCCACAATGCTGACAGCTGACGAGGTGGATTAGACATCTTAATTAATTACTGTAAATCTTTAAACCAAACAATGTGGGTGCAGGCTTGCTCTATGCTCCTTTTCAGCTAAAAGTGTAGAATGGGATATTCATCATAGCTTTTAAGGTCCTTGCGTTTGTAAAGTTTCGCTATTAGTTTTGGAGAAAAGTTTATTTCCCTATCATCAGCAATATGCCTACAATTTCTTAAAAATGGCATGCTTCTGCTGAATGCTCTTCTCCATATTTTCCAGACAAGAGAAAGAATACCACTGCCCATCCCTTCCCTTTCCTTTCCTTGCAGTCCCCCCAATCCAGACTAAACATTTGTCAAAAAATTCATCTTAGCAACAAAAACAAGTGCACAATTGATATGAGACCTGCAACATGGACTACTGGATTCCCACAAACTTGCGTTGTTACATCATTCTTAAGTTTTAGATGCATGCATGCAGGAGATTGCACTTATAAGAGCAAAATGGATTCTGTTTTCATGTTAAAACCAATCATCTGTAGGTACTTAATGACCTTTCATAACTCTCATTAGATTGAATATTTAAGGATTTCTCTTGCCAGCATGATCCTGCCCTGTCTTTGAAAACTTTTCTGGATGAAATCAATAGCAATTGAACTTAAACGTAGCATTCACTGTACATACACTCCATTGAATTCAATGTCTAAAATGAATTTCTTCCCAAAATCAAGAACATAATTCTTGTTTTGATAAACCTTTCATAAAGTTTAAGCCAACAAGTCTTTGTCCCAGGGGACTTTATACCAAGTCCATTATCACTCAAAATGACCCTTGACCATGCGTAACAAATTACTTTTAAGTATTCTCCACTTCTCCACAAAAGATAAACATATAAACACCAGTGGTAAGATATGTATGTGTATGTAATAGTCCCTATCCTCATGCTACAAGCACTTTCTTTTCCTGGATAAATAAACAACATTCAAATACAATAATCTACCCAAGGAAAAAAAAAAAAAACACATTACATCTCTCTGGCAGCCGGACTGTTCAATATTCCGCTAGGTATGCACTATGAAATTTTATGGCTTGAGTAAATGAAATTTACATCTATGAGCTACTGTTCTGAATCGGTTGTGAAGGACATCTATCTTCAATAGGCTGTGGGTTCAAGATCTTACAAAGAGAACGATATTGCAGACGAACATTCTCACCAGTTCCAATAATCTTAAGCAAATACCTGCAAGAAAGTCACTAAAGCATGGGGATATCACCAGTAGAAACTAAGCCCCAATTCCATCTTTGCAGACATGTATACTTTGTTTTTTCTCCTTTTTGGGAGTAAAGGGAAACAACAGTTTACTCAACATAAATGATAACAAACCATAACAAAGTTTCATGAGCACATTGTCGAACAACGGAGGTGAATGGCCAGTGCATACCGAAGTACAAAAGTCATCTCATTATAATATAATTTTTGTTGAGATAAAAGAAATAATATACAAGAAAGTGAAAAAGATAAAATTTATTATCTTTTTATCTGTTCCAAATCATTGGCAATGCAGCTTAGTATATGGTATTTATTGCCATTTCAAACTTCAAATTTTTTATTAAAAGTAAAATCCTGATGAAATTTAAAAAGAAATTATGATCAATCATAAAACCCTTAGGTAGCAGTTAGTCATTTTAGTTCAGGTCATTTTAAGATTTGGACTAGAAACATTTTGAGTCTTAAGTTGTTCTAAATTCAGATTGCTTCAAATCCAGATCATTACATGTTCAAGCCAGTTCATGTCAATGTCAGTTATTGTTTCAGGTTCACATCATTTCTTACTTTTAATCATTAAGTTTTGGACCACTTCAGCTTTCAGCTCAGGTTTAGTTGGTTTAGGTCAGGCTTTGAGCAAATCAAGTTGAGCAATTCTGGTTGGATAAGCTTTTACCACCTCTACAGCTTCATTCATAACTGGAATCTATAAAAGAGTTTCAATGAGCATTTATCACATTGAAGACTACTAGACACATGATTTTGTGCAGGTGTCAGATCTTGGATCAAGCGAACTCACCAGCCATTGAGACATTGGGATGTAATAACGGCTTCCTTCCCAACAAATTTTTCTGGTGTCCTCCTGTTTCCCTGTACATTTCAGTGCACATTCCATTTCAAATTTCAAGCTAATTGTCAAGTTGAAACAGTCAACCAAAAGTTCACAATGAAACAGACAGCAAAATGCACACCTTAATTAACACCTTCTCATTTACCGAAAATGGATATTGCACACCCCTATGCAACCCATCATCAGCAGCAACATCTCCATTCTCCTGCAGACAAGTATTTGACCAGTCTCAGATTTGTAGTTAAAAACAACTCCCTAAGGACCCAAACAAATTACATTTAGAAAATTCAATCCCAGTGCTCAAAACATTGTAAATGATGTTCCACTGTAAATATCCCCTTATTTCCTCAATCGTCTTAAAAATTAACTTGCTATTATCCTAACAAATTGTTGCTTCGCATTCATTGCTTAAGGCACTATAAACTCAAATCCCAAAAGCAACTATCCACTCCTAAGCTTGATTCCTATCTGACTTCTGATAAGTTATCTGCAATGTAGCTATGTCATCACCCAGCATGGAAGCACATAATTGTAAGGCTTCCACATGCTACCTTACATAATAGGAATTTCACTGACGTGCATCAATATAGGAATCAATTTACACCTAATGACCATGTAGAGATACATTGATTACATCAAGCTTTAATTGTCTCGTTTTAGCACAATGATGCAAAGCAAGTCAAATAACTGCGCTTCAGTCGTCTCATTTCCCATTTTCATAATAGAGACTACATTTTCCAGATATAATCAATTTCAGGAACCTATACTGCTTAAATTAGTAAAATTCTTGCAATATTTTTTATGCAGGTGGAACATCCTACATGTATCTCCTCCCATTTCCATTTGCAAAAGAACTAAGGGTTTAATATGCTTATTACGCTTATGACAGTTTATGCATGCCCAACCAAAAGTTTGGAAGGACTATGTGAAGAAGTTTATTTAGAGTATACCCTGCTTGATCTTCTCGATGGATCAATTTGTTCACCCATTTCCTTTCTTCGTTTACGGAGAGCTGCATTATGGAATAACCTTCGATCATCCTCTTGCTTCACAGCTGCAGCAGCAGCTCTTAGAGCTGTTGGACAAAAGTGAAAATATGAGAAATGGGGAAAAGAAAATAAAAAAATTAAGAAAAAAGAGAGAAACACACACAAACAGAATCAAATGTCCAAAAAGAAAGAGCAGGGGAGAGAGCGAGGCAGAATGAAAAGGAACATACCAAAACTAGGCACAAAAGGTTGAAGAAAATTAAAGTAGCTATCAGAATGTACCAATATTAGGGATCAAAGACCCAGAGTCAATGTCTGCACTGCAGAGTGTACATCTTGACTGTGATGCAAACAATAATTGTAGTTATGGTTCTTGTCTCTTCCCATCTAAAGATAATAAATCCATTGTAAACAGTAATGAAAAGGAAACACCAGTGACTATCCCATAATGATAAGCCTCAATCTCCAGAGGAGCAGTGATCTAGCCACAGAATTAATAAAAACAGAAAACTTTAAGCACATGTGTGCAAGCATGCATATAAACAAATAATAGATGCATGCTAACATAAAACTTGAGTTTATAGGCCACAAAATGACAAGATCTCCCTTTCCTTAAAAAATTCTTGGTAGATCTTCTCTTGGCACTTCTGATTTATGTTTAGCTCCTTTAATATTTACGAGTTTACAGATTGCCTAATATGAAGTTGACCCCATTCTTCAACTAGACTTAAGCAGACTTTGAAGGTGATTACAGAATTTATAAGGTGATAAAAATATGGTTCAATTTTTACCAACAGATACACCCTTCTAGGATTTGGTGTGCACATACACCTGCATGTTTGAGAAAACCAACATTGTATCTTCAATATTCTTTCCAGATAAAAATAAAACAACTTCCAACAAGTTAAAATCTCTCAGGATACAAGGTTTTAGCATTTGCTCAAACACATGAAATGTAACTGCCTCCTAGGATATCTAGAGAATTAAAGTATTGGTTAGATTTCAAATTACTAGGCATCAGCCTTTGTCAACAAAGTCTGCCTTCCATTTGCTTTCTTTTCAAAGAACAAAGGGTTTTGGCAGTGGTTGGCCAAAGAACATTACATGCTTTAGAAAAAGCATGAAGATGCTGAATTTTCTTTTCTTTTTTTTTTTTCAAGTAATTTGTTCACCCTCTGGACTGTCAGTGATCCTACAGTTAAACAATGATTCACCCTCTAAATCCCCAAAAAGATGAGAACTGTCATTTTGATGTGAATTCCATGCAACTTGAAAACAATGGAAACATTTATCCTTAATAGAAGATATACTGCTTACCATATCAAGGACCCTCCTTAGCATGAGACCACCAAATGAATGTCCACAAGAAACAACCATAGCATCTTCCAGGAATGCACCACTGCACATCAAGGAAAAACCCAAAGAAAAAAATGGATCCATAAAAATCATATAAAGTGCATGCAAGCAATTTTCTAGTGATAAAATCCCGGAAATTTATAACATCTGTGTATCTTTCTAATGAGAAAGGAATATAGTTGACCAAATCTGCATGAATAAGGTGAAGAAGTTGATAAAAATGATTCAAAAAAGTCATTAGATATAAATATAAAATCCGCTATTATTCAAAACGGGGTTGGGGCCTTTAAACAAAGATTTACTGATGCTGATTCACTCACTATATGGCTATAAACAATTTTACCAATTCTAAGAAATACTAGGGATACATTTCAAACAACACCCCGAAAAGGATATCAAGTAGCTTAACCAAAGAGTAAAGACAAGCTGAATGAAATTGAGACAACTTACGACAATGGATCTGAGAGAACACTTCTTAATGAAGGCTCCTTGTTAAAATTGTTTCGAGATACCTGGGAATCCAAAATTCATAATAAGGTTTTCTAACAAGAATTGAAGCCAAAATATGAAATTCAAAATTGCAACTTGCAAGCAACAAAATAGAGTAGGTTCATTTAAAAAGGAAGAAAAAAAGTTGTGAAATAATTTGAAACGTAAGTATATAACCAGAAAACAAAAATGTTATCAAGAAACTGTTATCAATAAACTCAGGACCAAATAAGAATGTGAATCAACACATCAAACTTCACTTTCAATCATCCACCACCTGTATTTGAAAACTTTTCCTAATAAAAAACCTAAAAAAGGTCAACCATCAATTTACTAAGATTCCATTTGGTTGACGCTTTCACTATTTGCTTCTATTATTTATTCAGTTTTCTTTTTTTTTTTTTTGGCTTTTTACTTTCTATTCATTTTTTGCAAAATTCAAAAAGAAAAGACATCACCAAATGGAGACGAAATAAGAAGAGGAGCAACTCAAAATGGTACAAAGCAAATTTGTACATTAAATAAGCTGTCAAAGTCTGCCAAGGACTGTTTTTAACACCTTAAAATCAGTTGAAAGAAATAAAAAACATTAACTGAGATGGATAGATAGATAGATAGTTATTTACCCTCACTTTCCTATTTCATTCTAGATTCTACTGTTCCACCTGAGAAGAATTGCGTGAGATATCAGGACTTACACAAGTATTATCAGAACGATTGCACACTACATCTTCTTCAGCAGAGAGTTCATCCATAAACTGGCTAACAGATATTGGTACATAACTCTGTGGAATTACATGACCAGCAGCTGCAACTGGAGAGCAATCTAATATAGCATTGCCCTGAGGCATGAGCCTAAATGCAAGTGATGTCCTGAAACCAAATGCAGAAAAGGGTTGCTCACTTTAGTCAAGAAGTGCAACAATTGAAGAACTTTGCTACCACATTCGAAGCAACACAAGAGCCAAACATGAATTACATGTACCTGCCACCATTATTAATGCCTGAAAGGTACTCGGAAGCAGCTCTATATGAGGCAGCAGGACGAAGACCAGCAGTGGCATGGCTAAGTGCCTTGCCAGTAATGAGCAACATATCCCCAGGAGCCAATCCACCATCTGCTAGGTACCAACGACCGTTGGGGTCACAAACCTAAGGCAGAAAATATTTAACAGATATGCCGAAAAAAGTCATAAAATCAAATATCCCAAACAAATTATGCATACACGTGAGGATGTAAGTATATACCCATACTTCCATATGTGTTTATCTTTACACAAACATATATAAGCAAAGTATCAGATTCAGAAAAAAGCAATTGATTAATGAAACAGTCCTACATCAAAGAATCAACCTTTTTTTTCTTTTTTTGTCAAGAAAAAAAAAACCTGTAGGCCAGGACCATCTGAAGAAATCAATGTCAATAACCCCTTCTCAACTTCACCGCTCATTCCTAGCTTCCCTCCTCCAATAGCCCCCTTTCCATTTTGCAAAGACATGTGAGAGTAGGTTGCAACAAGCACTGAAGAAGACACCTCATTAGCAGGCAATGGAGTATCATCAAGTAAATGATTGAACACACTGCACAATGCATATTTTGCAATTTGATATCATTACCAAGGTGGAAGGCAGAAAAAGAAAGGAGAAAATTAAATTAATATGATATCCACCATCACCGTCCTTACTCGCTTCGCAAACGAAGGTGCCGCGCAATTGCACATAAAGCAACACGGGCTGCCTTCCCCATGCACCTAAAAATATCAGCCATGCAAGGTGGAGATGAGTCCCAATCTTCCAAAGCCCTGCCAGAAGAAAACTAATGATGTAAAAGTAATAAACAATTAAATGAAAAAAAAAGTGATATGATAATTGTAAGTAGACATTCAAATAAAGCAAAATTAAGCGATGAAAGCAAAAGAATTAAATATAAGATACTTTAAAATTATTAAATGTAGCAAAAAGTCATGATGGTACTAAATATTATATATAGACCCATAGACTTCACTCATAAGTGGGTACATAACCCCACAGCAAGCACCACCGAGAGCAAATCCATTTAGTAAAAAAGGTAAGTTTTCAGTCACAAATTAGCAAAGCAATTGCGGATAACCATATCCAAGCTAATTAATAGTGCATGAATAAGGATAAATCCTACCGTGGAGAAGTCTTCAACAGCTCAGCTAAGCAATTGACAGGAGACTAACATAGTCAAAAAGAACCCAACAAGTTAAAACAAGGCCCCAAACATGCGGGACCACCAGCAATAAACAAGCCAAAGAAGCTTAAGGCCAATTTTGTCATAAAATTTCTTATGCAAAAGTTAACTTGGCATCACTTAAAGTTAACAAAAACAATTGCATCCAAAAAATGAACAAGTGACTGTAAAGATGTACGACCACCTCCATGTAAAACCTTTTAGAACTTGTCGGCTGTCTCATTGACACAAATCCAAATCAAAACGTACCCCTTTGGAACCAATTTTCCAAATAGGGATAAATCCTGGTATTTAAACACTACAAGAACGAGTTCACCATTCATATACTAGAAGGCATGTCATTGTTTCAGTGTTCCAGCAAGGAAAAAAGTGCAAATCCAACATTGTCCAATCCTTATGATGAATGGAGCTGAATATAAAGAGTAAGGATAAAGGTTAACAAAAGAAAAAAAAAGGTATGCCTGCATCTATAAGAAATTCCACAATAACCAAAAAGCATAAACCACTCCCTGATTAGCCTATTGAAGATGCCTTTGGTCTAATGAGTAGGATTTTGGGTGATTTAAAAGTGAGTGAGGGGATTTTGAACAAATGACATTTTATTTAGTCGGCCGTATGATCCTCAATTTTGCGACACAGTTAAAGAAAATAAAAGGTTAGAACTTACTAGCTTCTTCAAGAGGAAAAGGATATGACTATTGCAGAGTATGTACTCAAAGCAATTGAAGGAAAAGGTCTGCCAAATGTACTTCAAGTTATTACTAAGAATGCTGCAAAATTGCATTGCAACCATAAATGAGATAGAACAGGTACATAAACAAGCTTTTGATCAATCAGTGTTGTTCATACAGTATTCTTGGTTTTTACAGAGTTTGCTTAAGCAATCTGATTCGTCGACGTATACAAATTGCAAGAGCAGAGCAATTGTTTAACACTTCCCAATTACTTAGGAGCTTTAGCAATAAGCTCAGTTAAAGCGAGAATTGTTAATAAGGCAAAGACTAGCTTTAGCATTAACATACTAACTGAAAGCAATCATTTGAACGAATCAAGAAATTGTGGAATTAAAATTTCGAGAAAGCAAACAGAAGAAGCATACCTTCCAGCTCTATACATATAAACCCCACGGCTTCCTTTTCCAACAGTATTGACCCTACTCCTAAAGTACAGCCGCGCAGCTTCCAGGCCGCACCGCATCAATGCCGCGTCCTCGTTCCCAAATTCGATAACCGCCGCATTATTCCTCATCAAAGACCCCGACAAGGCCTCCACGGCCCTTACATTAGGAACCGGAAGGGGAACCATCATAGGCAGAAATATCTAATAGGCGAACCCTGGCGAGTGGGAGTGGGGTAGTCCCCATGGTTAGGAGGGGCTCACCGGAAGGATTGGCGGCAGAGATTGGGACGACGACATGATCGAGGGGCTGACGTGGAGGGAGAGGGAGAGGGGATTGGGTGGGAGTGGGTGTAGGGGATCTAAGTGAAGAGGCGGAAGAAGGAGGAGGAGGGTTTGGCTGGGGCGCCTGCTGCGGCTGCTGCATCATCATCGCTACCATTAATCATTCTGAAATGCGAGAGAAGGGATGGTGGGTTTTGAATTAGGGCTTAGGGAGAATCATTTTGGGGAAGGTGGTGCTTGGTTGGTTTGGAGTGTCAGTTTTGGTGGTGAGTCGGGATTAATTTGTCTTGATAGGGAGAGAGTAGGGAAAGGCCGCCAAACTCAACTCTCAAAGGCCACTTCCACTGGTTTTTCTTTTTCTTTTCTTTTTATTATTATTATTTTTTAGACTTTTTCTCTTAATCAGAATATCTGACCGGGCACGGACGTCAATTCCACCAAGGAATTACGGGAAGCAGATTCATCCAATTCCATCTTGGCTTTGACTTGCCTCTCGAAGTGGAGTACCGTACCAAACCTAAATGATCTTAAACATTTCACCCTTTTTGAGAGTAATTTTGTATTGGCCGAACGCATGTGTTGTTCTCTTTTTATTTTTTTAGATAGAATTTTTATTAATTTTTAATTATTTTTGAAAAACACCCTCCTAACAAGTCATTGAACAATATAAAACTGACTTATGGATGGGGTACATCATAAGAACTAAAATTATTATCTAATTTAAATTCAAAGTTGGCCATGCCACCTGCTACCATATTCCGTTCTCAATAAATATGAGAAATCTTCACTTCCTAGTCGAGTTGCAACAATCTACGAATAGTAAGTCAAAATTCGCACATGGATGTGATGCATTGGCGGTAATTGCTTGAACCACAATTTTATTGTCCACTTGTAGCTATATCCTACGAAATCCTTTATCCCTTGCTATATGAAGACTGTGTAAGACTCCCC